ATCCGAATGTACGTATGCTTCATCGTTTTTCTAACTCGATGTTAACAGTTTTCACTTTCGATCGAAGTGACTTGTGTTGTCGTCGTAATAGTCTTAAATCGTTTTTCCGTGTAATGATTGCAACAAGAAACGTTACATCTCAGAAATAAAAAAGATATTGTCAACCTCGTTATTTTATCAAACTCGTGTTAAAATCACCATTATGAAGATAGTAAATGAGTCTTTTGAAACAAAGATTTTAAATAACCTCTGATTGAATGTCAAATGGTAACGAAAAAATGGAAATTCAATAATTCAGAAGTCAACACAACAGCTTTCATGTTTTTGTAAATTCTTCCTATTAGCTCCAATGCTCCATTTCTATTTATTTCAACCCGTCTTTAGAGAATTTAAAGATTCTGAATCGACCAGAGGTTTATTAAGGCCCCTAAAAAATTACTGGACATATAATAACTTAAAAAAAAATCAGTTATTAATTTATGAGCAATTTTCTTTCAAGAGATTCGTTTAAAAAACAATCTGTTTGTGATTCATGTAGCACTATTGGTAGAGTTGCACTATTGCAATATATATATATTACAGACCTATATACGTAGGTCACGAATTTCGAAACTTTCTCACAATGATAATGCTAGATCGTTGGTCGTCTTAAAAAAGTGAATTCTTTTTCTAATCTAACCCTTTCGTGCATATACTTTTTCTGTTTGTGTAACAGCTGCAGATGAAAGCGTAAAATATTAGACTTAAAATTGAATGTTTAATTTGAATTAAATTTATAAATTTTTAATCAAAAACTAAAAAAATATATATATAATCAGATTTCAAATATAATCAGTTAATTTTGGATAAAGCACAATCTGCTATTCAAGCAGAGCATTTGAATCGTTTTTCGTAAGTGAGAATCGCGAAATTTAATATCATGAGAACGAAAAAGTGCAACATCGTTTTATAGATACGGGTATATAGAATTTTGCGTTTCAGCAAAAATGAATCGTGTTCCTAGAATCGAGCTTTAAGTTACGTTGGTTGTACGCGATGATCGTGCTGATTACGATTTTCTAGCGAGTAAGAATTATTTATGTAAAAGCAGGTACCCGCATCGTGTTTGGAAAAGAGGATGTGCGGCAGTGACACGTGGAAATGTTTCCATTGTTGGACAAGGGCAACGTCATTGCTCTTGGTTATTTAATTTATTATTTCCTCTCCACGGTGCCTTTAAAGGTAGAACAGTTAAACACAGCATCTAAATTTTATTCCAATACGCGTTTTCAGTCCAAATTTTTAATTAAATTTGGTTAAATCTAATTAGATTTGAATTTAATTAGAATTTAATGCGTTTTAAGTCAAAGTCTCGATCTTTTAAAATTTCTATTTTAAAAATGTTAAATAACAATAATTAAATTTCATATCTCACATAATCTAAATATTTCATTTTTCCGGAGAACGCAGGTTCGATTTTCCCGTTAAATAACAGAAATTAAATTTCAAATGTAAATGAAAATACGAGCTTTCCGCTAAAGGAAACATATTTCGGGTCGTAATATATTAATATATTACGATTATATACGATAGAAAGTAAAAATTAAAGCAAATAGAATGGTTAAAAGTGACTCTACATCAGATGTTAAATTATTCATTGAAATAGAATTTGAACTTCACGCTTCAAAATTCGATTAAATCGTTAGAATTGGTAGAATAAATTAATACGAGAGGGAACTCTCAATGAAGCTATTTCAAAATAGAAGAAACTAACAAGTATTACTATTAACTTTAATCAAACGTATTATGGTTGGAATCGCTGATCAATTAAATCTAATTTGATTCTTACATGGTATTTCAACATACTCTGAATTTTATGCAAACCGATACACGCCCAAATTGCTTGTATTACTTCGAAGTTAATGTAAATTCTGGTTTTATTAAGCTCATGAAAATCCAATCTATGTACACATCGTCTAATTAATTGGCTTCTTTTATAGTTTCGGAAACCGATGCTCAATTCCTTGTATGTTCGAACAACGTCACGCATTTCGCTTCCTATAATATACTTCCCCTCTTACGAAACCGCGTTTATTTAACGAAAAGGAACGGTAATATGAAGGAAGAAATCTTAATTTAACCGCACTATCGACTTCGTGTTCGAGATACGGGCTCGACGCGTGCATAACTCGCATTTTCGAAACGAAAAACCAAGCTAATATATTCCATTGGCACGATAGTTTGGTAAACACGCTCTCATTGATACCGAAAACAACGACCGTGTTTCTAGAATGTTTAATCGGTCGAACATGCAGCCTACAATTAAGGAGTAGAAAAGGAAAGAAACTGGGGCAAAGAAGTGGAAGTCCACTGCAAGAAAAGTAGCACGAAATTAGCGCTATCAAAAATTTTCGCATTTGCCCTCAATAAATAGCGTTAAATTACAGTCGTAGTGATTGCAGTTATAATAGTAATAGCTGTATCATATGTATAATAACTGGATTGCGGATGTTTCTGCAAACGCGTATTTTTATATACCTAATTAGAAAAAATAAGTAAAAATTATGGAAGCTAAATAAAAATTTAATTCATTCGCTGAATGTTACGCTAAGTAATTCGTACTTCGGATATTTTATATAGTTTTGTATACGTTAGATGTTACGCGCCTTTTATGCGATTTTGCGATTCTAAATTTCCTATGAATGTATAAAAATCCGTAGTGTAATAATAATTGCTTATACAGTGATGAACAGAAGTACGATGAGCTGTATTTTCGCACGGACCAGCTCTTTTGTAAAATTTTTGTTCGAACTTGTAAAAAATACCATTCTTAAATAATTGTATATTATCTAGAATGGAAATATATTAAGTATATACTTATACATATATTCTATTTTATCTATAATATTATATATAAATTTCATTTTACAAATACCCGTATAACGAGAAGTGCTTTTTTAAACATTTTCAATTGATTTAATCTTTGACCGCATTTTCAAAAATGGTTCCACGCTTTCGTAACACAAAACAAACCGTAAATATGTAACAATCTTTCCAAATCTCTTACTAGAACCACTTTAAGAATCATAGGCACGAGTATGCAAATGACGAATGTTCGTGTTACAACTTAGGATTATGATTAGTGTCATGTGTCAGTTTCACCGACAACGATGTTAGTTTTTAGCAATTAGGATCGCAGTCAGGACAGACGTGATTCACTTGTTACTCGCTCGGCATTTCAATAAAATTCATAAGTGCGGTCGTTCAATGTTTATGTAAATGAACAGATTTACGTAATACCGGGTTATCAATGCTTTTAACCTTCTCTAATTGTTCCTCCAGCGAATCGGAAGTCGTTTCCTCGATGCAGCATGATCCTTAGCCAACTAATCGATTGGACGCGTTTCACGTGAATAATTGCTTTGTTATGGTTGTTTACAGCGCGGCGAAAAAGGTAAGTCGAGGATCGTTAATTGAAAGCAAATAACCAAAGTAGAGGAAATGTAAACTGGCTGGACGAAATAACAATAAAGCGAGAAAGTAATTTATCCGTAAGACGAGGTAGCTGAGAAAGTTTTGCCGATTTATCTATTATTTATAGATATCGTTGCCTTTTTAAATAAATTACGAACTTACGTAAACGCTAAATCTACATAACAACTGCGCTACGTATATTATTTCAATAAGAGGAAACTAAAAATATAAAATCATGTACGAACGTTTTTAAATTCTTGAAACATATTAAATTATCTAATTTCATCCGTAACATATATAATGTTAGTGTAACTAATATGATTGATAATGATCCTTACAACGATAAAAAAAATGCAACGATAAAAAAAAAATTAAATTAAAATATCTAAAAAGTGATGGCTTTTCGTTTATTTTATGCCAAATATCGACGTATATGGTGATGAAGTTATAAATGAAAAAGCATAGCATAATTTCGCTTGAAAATCAAGCACAATTAAATAGCCGAATATTTATACACGAGGATCATGTCAAACTGGCTATTGATGACTTCATAAGAACAGACAATTCTCTACACGATGTATTAATCAGGTAAGAAATAAAATTAAGGGGACAATACTTAATTACATAGGAAAAAAGATGAAAATATTAAAAACACTTGTTTTATCTCTATTGGTACGTAAAACCGACAAAACTTTTTCATTTCATAATCTGTTCGAATTAAAAGTGAAACCGTGAATAATAGCTGAACGTTAAAGGTTTTATATTTATGCGGAGACTGGTAATTTTACCATTTTTGTTACTGACGCTTCACTTTGGTTCGTCTTATCGCGTTCTAAGCGTACGTGCACGAACATTATGCTGCAATTTGATATATATTCTCCGCTATAAACTAGAGATTTACGAGCGTAATGTTAGAAATTGATCGAATTGAATCTCGTTTGCAAATCATTCCCGACTATAACGTTACCTATTACGTGCCATATTTTTGCCTTGACAGAGTGTACTATTGCTATATTAGGAAACTTTCCATCATTTTCTGGCTATTATTGCATACAAGTTGAAGAAAGATGGATATTAGTCAAATGGCGTATTAATTATGTATAAAACGAGCATAATATGTAAAATTACAAAAAAAAGGCATTCATGATATAATATACCTTATAATATTTAACATGCAGATGAAGCAAATCTCTGCTTAGATCCACTTCTTCAAACATGCTTATAAAATTATTAATTTGCATAAACATCGACAGTCTAACTATAATGAAAGCACCTAGAGTAGATTAATATTCAAATTTCACAAGCAAATTTATACGATTCACAGACTAATGCATAAAATGTCTTCTCTCTAAAGTGTCTCTTCAGACACCAGTAACGCTTATAATCATCTCGTCACGACTGAATCCAAAAGTGAATAGAAAAAACGAACAATACAAATACAAAATAAACATATTTATCTATGAATAATCAGGAATGATCGTGAAATTCGGTATATTGAAGATACAAAAGTCAAAAAAATCATGGTAAAAAATTCATTCAGGACTTACGTCATTTATGGTCGACAGGCTTGGAACTGCGTCGATCGAGTGCACGATATTCCAGAACCCTCATGTTTCCATCATCGCGGCTGTCGAAGATCTTCGGTGTCGTCACGACGACGGAACCACGAAGAAGGTAATTCAACCCCACGTATCAACGACGTAAAAAATCAAATTTGCTACTATACGGATCGAGGGTGAACCGCGTCTCGATCTTCCCTCAGCTGCCGTCGAATCAAAGGACTTTACTTCCGGCGAGACTCCGGTGCGCACCAATTTCCTGATCACTGCACATCAACACACTGCCGGATCCTTTTCGACGCTCGTTTCCTCTGCCTTTGTATTTTTACGTTCGCGAATGCAATGGAAAAAAAGCAAATTTCAGTAAAAAAAAAAAGAAAAAAAGAAACGTGCGCGAGTGAAGACGCGTCTCTTCGTCAGTTTCGATACGAAAAAACTTGTCTTCCCGATTACGCAAACGCGGCAAACGGGCCAAAAATAAAAGTCGCACGCCGAAAACCGGAGAAAACAATGTCTCACGTGCGTCGCGCGCGGAGATTCGCAGCTGACTGCGCTACTATGGTTCGTTATGTCCCCTTCAATAGCAGGTAGCTGCCACCGCCGATTTGACGAAGTACGAGGACGCCTAGGTAAACAAAACGCGGGCTTGAAATGGAAGATATTACAAAGTGAAAACGATCGAGGCTTTGTACTGTGATCAAGTTTACGGGAAATTCTTTCGAAGTTGTTGATATCGATGGATTTTTTCCTACAGCACTACACTGAGATACTTTTTAATTTTATATTGAAAGTTTGAATCAATATGAAGAATGGTTAAGTTCTAATCTTATTCGAGATTTGAAAAATTCTATGCAACATTGCATTAAAGATTTATTGTTATAATATTTGTACTAACTCGTTAAAGGTAAGAGATAGAGCATGATGTGAGAAATTAGGAATAAATGGTTTTTCTTAAATATAAAATTAGATTTTCTTTAACACGAGTTCGAAAGTGATAAACATGAACTAACATTGAACTAATTTTGAAACCTGACATTAAATAATCAAATCATAACGAATGATTAATCTATCATCGAAATCAGCTTGCATTACTTTTTTTGTAGTAAAAGGTACAATGTGATATCGTTCAAAAACGATTGATCTGAAAATGTAACGCTTTCAAACGACGTTCGAATAAAAATGTAAATATTTTGTTTTTTTAAATTTTAATTTCATAAATTTTCAAAATCTTAAACAACATAGATTTTTTTAATTTATCTTAACAAAAATATCTCAATCGTACATGAAAAAATAGTGTCATTCATATAGATATTAATAACAGATAATAATTATAAAATAATTAAGATAACATTCTTCATGCTTCCACCAAAAAAAATTAATCCCTTTTCATCGTTTGAATGTGTTCAAATGACGAAATTAATGATGATAGCTTAATCTATGTATACTACTACTAGAACTATTTGATCATAATTTGTAGAAGGCTACAAAAAATATCATTAAATTCAAGCACGACAAATATACTCTAGCAACAGACCAAAAAGAAGAAACCTGTCTATTGCCACCGCGAATTACGTTTGGCAATGGCTGCGAAACAGCCGCTTCCTGACACTAAGGTAAGCCTGTGAATCCTATAAGGCCGTGAACGCGTTCACCTTTCAAGTTTCTTATTAACTGTTTTCACCGACCGGTATCTTCAAACGGAGAACACGAAATCGACTACTGTCGACAGGAGCAGAAAGACGAGTCGCCTAGCTGTCTATCTCTTTATCGACCGTGTCTGACACGCACACAGTGCCACTGTCGTTAAATGAAACGTTTACGTCAATAGGTTAAACGACAAAAGCTACAAGAGCAACTTGGCAAAGCACACGATTCTTTTCTCCAGTTTTTCAGCATTGCCCGCGGAAAGCAAGCTCGCGCCTGGGTATCTGGCACAAGTGCATGTATCCCGTGCACGTACGGAAGACGTGCACTTTCGCTGTCGATTCGATATTCTCTCTTTCTCGATCTCCGCAGAGAGTGTCCTTACGCGATATACAAGTATCCTGCGACACGGCTAATCTGTCGTTCTCTATCCCTTTTCCACTCTTGCTCTCATGGGACGAAAATTTTGCGCGCGACGAAATAAATTCTTTCAATTTTTGTATTCAAAGACAACGAAGGAGACGGGCGATGAAAAAGTCTCGGCAAGCAATTAGATTGCTAGAGACGCGCGTGTCACGCGTTTCCTTCTCCTCTCGTGCGGGACGTTTCCACGGTGCTCGAATCCACGGTCATCTCTTTCCGTCGACGGTACCGTTTTCGTTAATTCGCCCCGTTAGGATGCGGATAACGGATAACGGTCGCGCGGCAATGATGGTCGAAAGTCGGCAAAGACCCAAGATCCCGCTTCTCGAGGAGACCGTGATGGACCGACGACGAAACGGAGAGGAGAGGCCGGCGAAAGAGCACACACCGCGGATTGGAAATTAATGCGAATGCGCGAGCGGACTCGGTCTAACTGCGGTAGACGATACCCGTCGACGTCGGTAGCAAAAGCAGAAGGTGGGGAAACGACCCAGGGACTGGGGACTACTCGCCACTGCTGGCGATTGTGATTGTTAGCGCACGGTTGTTCGGTGCGTGCACACCGTCGAGACCAGAAGAGAAGGTTGCTCTCCTCGCCTCGGGTCGGTACGTTACTGGCCGACCTGGCTCGTTTCAAAATCGGGAAAGTCGCCGTGATCCAGGAGGGGCTGTCCTTCTTGAGCTGTATCCCCTTTCAACGCTATCGATATCGGTGGAGACCGGTGGACTCTAACGATCACGCTCGATCGCCGTTTCCTCCGGCGTCGATTACGCTTGACGTCTCCTTCGTCCCGAGCAGCTAGATCCTCTCCTTAACTGGCCATTCGTTAGACGAATTCTTTTTGCGGGAACCAGCTAATTTTCTACAATCGATTGGCTCTGTTAGAATTAATTAGGATAGGGAGAGAGAGAGAGAGAGAGAGAGAGGAAGAGAGAGAGGAAGAGAGAGAGAGAGAGAGGAAGAGAGAGAGAGAGAGAGAAGAAACCATACATATGCACGGAGAAAGTACCCGGAGTACCTAAGATAGTCGAGGATGGTGGACGTTTATACTTGTTTCGAGTTACTCCGACGTGATTTACGGTTTATGATCGAAGATGTTTTTTCGCGCTTCCAGGAACGACGTTTGCCACATTTTAATATTCATGGTGTTACGCAAATTTACCGATTGGTGAACGGTTCCGAGAACAGAAACTCGTCGACAAATTTTCTTTCCGATCTTCTGTTCGGAACAGTACGTTGTATCGTCGGGAGTAAAGATTTCTGAGGCAGTAGCATTCGTTCGCGCCAGTTTAAAAAGAGTACGGTTTCGTGTTTGGCAATTTAATATTTGGAGATGTCCGGAATAAAACGATCTCTTCCTTCTTTTTTCGTTGGCGGAGACTAAATTAAGATGAGTATCAGTATTTAAATACAAAGTGAACAGTTTTAGGAACTATTATAAATTGGTATTTTATTAGCAACAAATTTATTAGCAACTCTATTACTTATATAGAGAAGAATATTATTATTGGAAACTCGAGATTATTTTCCAATATTTTCATTTCTTAATGTATTATATAACTTTCTTACCTTCTCCAAATATTCCTCTTTCAAAAACAGAAATAAAACATTTAGCTATCCTCAATCACTTCTATATCTATAAAATTTATTAAACAATTAACTCAATTACCAGTCACTCTCCATTCCCACGATACATTTCCGACTAGATCCTCCCTCGCAAGGACGAGTCACGCCGGTCGACGTCTTGTTCTCCGAGAGGAAACGATTGCGGGAACGAAATTGCAGACTACACGGCCGGAAGCGTGTCTACACTTCGCGTGACTTGTCCGAACCAAATCTCGAGGCTCTTGACTCTTGACGGATGTAACATCTAACCATTCTGCGATCCAGAACTAAAAAACATATCTTCCGCTGAACTGAAATGTAAAATACGAGAGGAAGGAAAAGGAAACAAAAAAGGATGACGGGTCTCGTCAGAGCGAGAGACAAAGAACACAGTAGAAGGGAAACGCTCGAGGCTCTTGATTAGAAGCGATCGTTTTCCGGTTTTCCGTTTGTGAGCCACAGCTGCCTGGCTGCCCCTGCCTTTTCCTTCCTGCTCGCTCTTTCGCCGTGCCGCTGACTCGCCTCGCGAGAGGGAAAGTATTTTATACCACGCTTGGCTTGGCAAGAGAAAGGGGACACGGTTCGCTCCTAATTTCTGTTTTAACTCGGTGAACCTATATATCCTCTCGGTGGCCGAGAGCGTGTAACTCGACGCCAGCTACACTTCGAGACTACATATACTATGTTAGTATGTATATCTGTATGTAAGTAAGTAGGCATGCGAGGATTCTTAAGAATACATTACACGTTGGTACACGGTGGTCCAGCGTGTACAGCGGCATTATTATCGTTCGTACGGTCTCGTAATCTCTTCCAGTATGAGATACAACGAAGGCAAAAGAAAGAGAAGAAAGGAAGGTTCGCGCGAGCGCGTGCTCGACGAAGAGGCAGGCACACTCTGCCTCGCTGGCGGTGAGACGAGGATGCAGCCTCTTGGCTAAAAGTGAAATCGTCTGTAGAACGTACTTGTATCATAGTCGTTATTATATGTTATGCCAGGCTTCGGAGGAGGACTTGAAACCGCGATTACAGCAGCTGCACACCGGAACAAGCCGTACGGTGCGCGCGTGCGAGACCGGATATCACAGTTAGACGTCCGTCCACAACGAAAAACTCACGGAGACGGCTGTGGTTTAAGAGCTGTTAGCTTGTTCGTTCGACGAAACTCCACGCGAAAATAGTAATTATTTATCCGTGAACGGGACTGATTCCATAGGGAAATCCGCATATTGTTTCCAGCCGGTTGGCGGGTAAACATGAAGCGCGGTTATACCTGTGTTAATTACGAAAGTGAAAGTGTGGGTCATTCACGATACACGTTGGTGCTGTATTTATACATATGAAATAAAAAGAAATCTCGGAGCCTCTTCTTTCTGTTCCTTTTACGTAATTGATCTTGATATTGTTTCTGCGCTCCTTGATTATCCACGTACCGAAACCAAGCACGTTGTATGCGCCTGATTTATGTCGTATATCTACTACAGTCCCTAAAATCAATGTTCGATATAACATTTCGTGTAATTAATTTTAATCGATCGTAAGAAATTTTTGGCACATTTTAATCTGATTAGTTTTCAATAATGTATTGCTTCAGGAAATATTTATGCGAAGAAAATGTAGGGAATAACAATGAAATAAAATAGCAGGGACAACCTTGACAACTTACAAAATCCATTGTTTTAATATTATTCTCAATACACAAGACTATTCGATACTCCAAGTTTCTTAAATCTACACATCTATATATTTAGTCTAGTTTTCTTTCTAGAAATATAGTTTCCTGTTGTATCTTCAAATCATTAAATCTGAATCTTTTGCATCATGTAACTACTTACCACTTAAAAATCTATTGACTAATGTTACTCCATCTGTAACAATATCATGCACCAATATCTCGACAGAATAAAATACTATTAGCTACACAAAAAGTTGTTCCGCCATGTTGACGTCTGTGACAAATGTTTTTTGCAACCTATCCAGGTATCGATGTAAAGTAATCGTTTTTTGTTAGTACCGTTACGCTCCTCCATTCAACTCAATCGTCTCTCGAGATCTCGCAAAATCGAAAACTAATGATTTCGCAAAGGATTTCACCTTCCTACTGGTTACAGTGAGAAACAGAAATCTTGTAATCCTCCAGTATCCACTTTAGTGATTCATCAACTTTTCTTCTCCACCGGCTTTTTCTTCGAATTACAAAGAAATCGATTCTAATCCGTAACCACGATTCCAGTGTTATAAAAGTCTGGCAATTGATGTCTTGTCATCGATCTTTGACGCACACACACAGATCTTGTCTCGCAGGTAGCGGCATCTAAAGCCTTAAAATAAGAAACGAAGATAAAAAATTAGAATGGTCGATAAATCACACTGAAATTGCTGCAATTAACGATTCCATTTAACTCATAAGCTGCGCGATAAATTATATCAAGATCATTTATTATAATTAACCAGGGCCAAAGTATAGAAATGCTCTCGATAAATATCGATAAATCAATCTTTTTTCGTCTACTCCTATCTTTAAGGAAAATCCCTAAATCTGTAAAAGAAAATTAAGACCTGACTCTAAAAAGTAAAAAAAAAACATTTATAAAAACATATGTATATATATATATTCAATGAGATAGAATGATTGTTTATTATAAATTATAACTCGTTGATAATTAGTCTTTCTGCTAAAATTCCAATTAACTGACGTAGTAAATTTGTAGATTTAAATATTCTTGTAAAACATATCCTTATTTTATAATTGTAAATATGAAAATATATATTTCTTTTTTTTTCTTTACTACACGAAAATATTTACAATTAAGTACATACATATGTATATGTATTTACATTAAATGATATCTACCTATATTACTCAAAACGACAGATTCCATGTATGAATAATTTAAGGGAAACAATTTTCCAATTATTGCAAAAGATGTAAATATTTTTGGCTATTTAACTTAACCAAAAATAAAACCATTTTTCACCTAATGAGGTAATCGTTCAATTGCATCGAAAGTTGTTTCCATAAAGATCGAAATGACGATATTGAAAAAGCGTGCGTTTAGTATATGGAAACAATAAATATAAAACATAAAAAGATTAGCAATTGTTGCACAACCATCCGGTTAGACAGTGCATTGCAAGCAAAACAACAGTACGCCTTTCACAATGCACAGCGAAGATCGTGACTGTTCGAACTGTCCGTGTGAACTCTGTCCAAAAACCTTGACCAGTCCAAATCTCAGATCGAATCACAATTCGACTCTTCCAGTGTAGTATATACATATTGTACATTGAAATATTTCGAGATGTTTGATTAAACAAGTACAATGATTATCAATAGCTCGATAATCGAATCATTTACTCTCCTCCTATTCGATAGCACGGCTTCCAAACGAGAATTGCAACAAAGTTATCAATTATCGTTTCGAAGGAATATATCCTTTCTTTGATTGGTTATCTTTTATTTTAGATTCGCTTCAGAACCGCCACGACACTTACAAAAATAAGGAAAATATACACTTGCAATTCTTATTTATAACTACGAATAAAATATGAGTTATTCTTCTGAGAAATAATCCCAGCGCGAGATTGATAAAAAGAAAAAGAAGAGGAATTTTTTTTATCATTCGACTGTTGAATCAGAGATGAATCTGTGACAATCAGCATTGACTTTTGAATTAGGAAAATAACGCGGTTACACCGTAATTCTTTGTTTCTGTCTCATAACGGAGTTTTTACAACGGTACAATAATTATACAAAAAACTGTTAGCGTATTAAATAAATTTAAGAAATTATATATGCTATTTAATTATAGGATGTGTTCCTTATTTGAACTAAATAAGGAATAAAAATGAGATGAGATACAAATACTTACATAGCGATCAATTATAGTTTTAGATAAATAACATTTCAGACTTATTCAGACTTATTTTTGTTCAATCAAATTGTATCACCGATCTATGTGTTAAACATTATGTCTATGGTATTGCATTATAAATTAGAGATTGGCAAATGAAGTATTAAATGAACATGCAAATGCTGCGATTACATAGTACAAATTAATCATTACATAATAATAAAAATTACTTACGATAATCGAGATAATCTACGTGCGTGTCAATGTTACAAGATGATTTAGTATATACAAATTTAGTATATACAAATTTCCGTATTTAATTTCATAAGGTTATTGGTCGACAAACTTCTTAATCAGTTATTCCTAGCTGATACATTGGCCGATAATATACTTCAAAAGTATTCAAGATTTCTAATTTCAATAAATTCTATGATAATTCCATGTCAGTCGTTGTTACGATTAGATACACGGTATTTATTTTTGAATTACACGTAGTATATATCAATCAACCGATATCTAAATCTACGAAACGAAGAAGAAATAAGAACTGAAAGCACATTGATTTGATTTTTTATATTTCATTACATATATTTATTCGTTAATAATAATTAATTAACAATAATAATAGTCGACATATAATACAATAAGAGTAATAATTAATAAGAAACTAATTATCTTTTCTTTCTGTGACAGCTGCCTCAGTGCCCTAAAGATCCTAACAATCCTACAGAGTTTATATTTTTTTTGATATTTTAAATGAACAAAATTAATTCGAGAGATAGTGAACTTTTTGTGCTTATATCATTATACATATATTGGACACGTACGTCACCTTCAATGCTACTGATTACATTTCCCTCGTAACTTTTTTTTACATTTTCTTCACTTGTTGTTAATCAAATGTTAAGTAACAATGATTATTTGGATAGTTTATATATATATATATATGTATATATATATTTATATATATATATATTTATATATATATATTTATCTATATATATAGATATATATATATTTACATATATATATTTATTTATATATATATATATATAGATAAGTTTCTCGACATTTAAACCCTTACACAAGGCTACTACTCTTGTTTTTTTATGTATCTCATACAAATTATATATATTTGAGACTAATATTAAAAAACCACATAACATTATTTACCATAAGCATGGACGTCAATCGTTCATAAAAATGATTGCGAAAATTAAAGTTACCATTTTTGTTAGCTAAATTTTCTAATAACTCATATTTATATGATTTATATAAAAATAACCCGATACTTTTCCCTATATTAAACGTGCAAATCGTAGATACCCATGGAAAAGGTCAATAAACATTTTTTTTGTATATTTTGGAAGCCAATATATGAGGAAAACTATTTTTAAAAGCATATATAGATATTCCTACGAAAATATTTTGACATGTCATACATGTAGTACTGAAAATTTTCAATAATAGTTTGAAGATTTGACTTTAATTTATACATTCTACTCTTTAATTATTTAGCAGCAATTACACATATTATCATTCTGCATTAATTGAAATAATTTGCACGTTTTTAGTCTTTTAACAAAAACAAGAGGTATAAACAATTCAGCTTTTCAAAGATGGCACCAAATATTAGTAACGCTCCAAGCTTTCATTGGAATAGAAGCGGAAATAATATTACATTTTTCGCCTACAAACTCGTCAAGATAAATATAAAATGCAAAATCACAAACCTTACAAAAAACCTAGTTTCGAATTATACCATAATATCTACGTTCAAAATGAAGGTGTGGTTTCTCGCTACAAATGTCGAGTAGCTATTTTAACATATTTGTTGTTATCGTAGTATGCCTGCACTAATTTAAAGATCAACTTCGAGGTAATCATAAATGTATGCTGCTGGTGGATTAGTAACGTCAGCTAACATTTCAGTCGATGTCAGTTCAATGTTTGGATTATGCCATGCATTGGTATCAGTTCCACCAATATCCAGACCAAGCCGTAAATTAGCTGGAGTATTACCAATAACAAAATGCTCTTCGGTCAAAGGCAAAGCGTCTTTTAACAAATGCCTATAAGATGTAACAACCAAAAACTTTGTTCATTATTTCAATAATATGACTGCAATCGGAAAGTACATTAAATAATTGCAATCTATAACTTACCAAATGGTTTCATCAGCGACGATATGAACTTTAGGCACAGGAAATCCATTAAATGGAGAAGCAACTGGCAACGTGTATGCTCCCATATTTTCAAAAATTATCCAATCACCGAGTTCCATTTCGTGTAACATAACGTTTTCTACGACTTGATCCAAACCATCACAAGTTGGTCCCCAAATACTTGAGGGAATCATCTTTCCACAACCTTTCTGTTAATATCGAAATGTTTACTATTAAGAACGAATCAACAATTTTCTGCTAATATTAGGACATTTAATATTAAAACTATTGAATAATTTAGTACTCTACAAACTATTTTCAAACATAGCAATAATTTAAAATAATTACCTTTAGAGGTATTGGAGTTACATGTTGATGATCATAGAGTAGACAATTGAAAGAGCCATAGACACCATCATTAATGTAGTACATATTGTGCGTAATCGTATTTGGTGAATTTTCATCGCCACGCACTGAACGCTTACTATGAATACTGGTTGCAAGAGTAAATGCCGAGGCAACATAAAAACGACCAGGTTCAGCGATTATGTGAACAGCATCGGCTGAGAATTATTATAAGTAAATAAACTTTATAATTAAGTTATAAAAATAGGGTAAAACATATTATAATGCAAATAAATGTCACATACTATTAAAGAATTCGTCGAGTGCATCATTAACGACATTAGCAATTTTATCAATGCTAGTGCCCTTATTTCCAGGATAACCACCGCCAATGTCTAGTAGATATGGCTTGAAACCAAGATCAGTTGCTAAGTCAAACAATATCTTGGATTCGCGTATAGCTCGATAAAATACAGGTGGATCCTGACAACCAGATCCAACATGGAAACTAATACCGATGACATTGAGTCCCAAAACACGCGCAAGACGTAAAAGATTGGGTGCTTCATATATGGGATCACAACCAAATTTCATGCCCAATTGACACTGAGCAACTTCTGCATCACAACGAATTCTAATAACAACCTAAGATTAAAGAATAATGGATTAGATAAGATTATAACTAAAAATAGAAGAAAATAATGACAAACGAAATATTTTTTATTACCTTGGCACTTGGATGAAGTTTCTTAATCTTATGTAACTCGCTTTCATTATCTGCTGTCATAGCATCAACTCCAACAGCAGCAGCATGACGGATATGAGATGCTGGCTTAGCAGGATTGGCAAAGATAATTTTCGATGAGTCTACTCCAACACTTAATACTTTATTAATCTCCGACTATAAATAACAGCAAATGATAAAAATCTTAATTAGACTATTTACTTAAAATACAAAGATACAATATAAGATACGAAGTATCAGATTACTTACTTTTGATGCACAATCAAAACCAATACCAAGAGCAGCCAATACCTCAATCACAACTAAGTTGTCATTACATTTTACGGCTGAAAGTTTATAATGCAATTGGTTACTTTTCCATCTAAAATGGAATACAATTCAAAATATATAATAATTGTTTTACCGTAATAGGGGCTGACGCGTGGCATTTTTTCCTTCCATATCTGATGTTTACGTACAATGTCACCAATGTCAAGCACATAAAAAGCTTCTTCTTGCATTCCACTCAGTGCAATGTCTTTGATGACGGTTGTAACATTTGACGCACTGTCCAAAACATGAATACGTTCGTCCAGATTTGTTACCTTCATATTGACTATTTTGTAAATTTTTATAAATACTCTGTAGGTGCTAGGCAGCAAACTGAAATTAAAAAATTATTAGACCATAGAAATCGCATACATTTGATTATTTATTCAGAACATATTAAATAATACATACGAGGCAGCTGTCAATGAGAATTGGGTGAGTCGTGAGGAAGCGGGTTAAGACAAGATCACTATGGGGGTGCTAGCAAAGCCACGGGGGCTCTGCGTTCAGGGCCAACTTCCAGTTGCCGCAGTTATCTACACACCCACCAATAGACTGGCCTACCAGCCTATTGTAGATAGAACCCTATAACAAACAGAATAAATATTACAACATTAGTATTTTATACTTCTGCGTTAAAACATTTATTAAACAAAGTAAGGCAATTATATATAAAGAAATTTGAATCTTATTGCAATACATTATAAAATATTTTATTATTAACAAAACATTATTATTTTCATTAATTTAATAAATTTCTTTCAAACAATGTTTTAAATGCATCTCAATAGGTAATTCAAATAAAAATATTGCAACAGTTGTTACAAAAAATATTTTCAGATCAAGTTAAGAACCTCTTAAATAATCAAGTATAATCTTTATCAATATCTGTAGATTAAGGTCATACTTCGAAAGAACTGCTCTATTAAACATTAGTTTATTTATTCAAAAATATAGAAAGCTCTAAAATAGGAATATATGATAATGTAATAAATTGTATACCAAGTAACTTACTAAAAGAAAATATATTTTTGTAATTTCATTCAATATTTACATAGTTTTTTCTATAGTACAAATATTACGTGTACTGTAACTACAATATAAAGATAAATATTAGGATATTTCATGGACATACTAAAGCATTGCCATTTTCTTGATTGATATTTATTTACACAGAGAAAAAGTATATATAGGATAATTTATTTATTTTTAAAATTCATTAACTATGTATAATTCTTTTAGTATGGATGAATACACTTAGTACCACATGTCAAACATTTTATTATAGACCCAAATTTATCTTATCAAATTTTATCAATAATAATTATATGAATTTCTTTCCAGATACTTGAAAGATTCGGACTGAACTTTATATGAAAACAAGATATTTATATAAATTTTACATTAGTTTTTGTTAAAAAGAAACTTTACTTAAATAAACTTTTTATAAAAGTTAATATCTTTTTAGATTAAATAAATATTAATTAATCAAATTATGTAAAAAAAATATAATTACCACACCTACCTTTATTTATAAAAAAAAATTTTTAGTAACTCACCTGGCGTTTAAAAGTAATTCTCGTAGCTTTTATAACACGTTAAAGCAAAAAACCATTGACATAAAATTTTGAACACACCAAAAACTTTGAAAAACAACTATCTTTATAATAATTTGAAAAAAACACTAATACAAACAGAGAAAATTGCAAAATTATTACGCTTCTCTTTTGTGTAATGACACAAAATGTGTTCAATTGGAGAAGTGCAACGGACAGTCAAGAGTACAGTATAATACTGAACCTGAAGTAACTATTTGGGCCACTATTTATACGAGAAAGATAAGTACTATCAGGCAGGCTTTGCGTGGTACCAAGTCTACTTCATGGAACAAAGCTTATCTGACGGCCAAGAAATACATGGTTCAGAGAGATCCAATTGGACATGGAGGGGTAATGCACACGCCACTCAAAGATCAAGTCTTCATTGGGGGCATGGAAATACCGTACTTAATCTATGCTATGCTGTTGAAATTATAGATAACTATCATTTGTCAAAATCACTTGGCATCTATTGATAACATCTCAGTGAAATATTCATAGATAAAATACAGGTGTTTGGTACATTATGTATGCTACTTTCCTGTCTGTACTACTTATTTCTAAATAAGAAACTTCCTCATCAAAAAAAAAAAAAAAAAAAAAAAAAACAAA